TTTGTTGTTATCCTCAATATTCTGGTGACTCTGAAAAACTCATTTTACTGATCACCTAATATGATCATCATTCCATCAGATACTAGAGATAGGCTGTGTCTTTGTCCAGTGCCTCCCAAAACACTGGATTCAGAGAAGGGTTAAGACCCTGCTCTGAGGGTAGGAATTAATTAATATATGTCAAGAAAGAGCCAGTTCCTAGGATATTTCTAGACATTCAGGATTCTAGAGATAGAATCAGAAGTTGGTTTGGGGTTTACTCAATAATAGCTTCCCATAATCATCACTAAATCCCTGACCAAACCCTTCCTGCACTCCCCTAAACTGGCTCCCCAAACACTGCTTCACAGAGGCTCCTGCAGAGTAAGATACAGGCATTTAGAGGTTCTCTGCAGTGGCGTCAGCAGATCCAACTCCTTCTTCCAGTAGAGGTTATGGACAAAAATTCTCTTAGAAGCTGGGATCTTTTTTCGTCGGCTGCCTGGCTGGGGTGCAGAAATAAGGGGTGAATTGTCTGTAAAAAGTGTTTAAATAGTAATAAAACTAAAAGTCTATCTGATTTTTATCATCACCTTGTACAACAATTCTAGGCAATGTTAGTGATACAATAACCCTCACCAAAAAAAAAAAAAAAAAAAATTGTTAATCTAAGTTCTAGGCAATTGCTGCAGTTACTGTTGCATTATAAAAATATGTATGTAATTTTCAAATTATCACTTTTTACATTTATTCACTAAAAATAGTGTATTATACGTGGAAATTAATTTGGAGAACACTAGTTACACAAACTCTGCCACATATATTACTTTTTTTTTTTTGACAGGAAAGCAGTTTTATTATTACTCAAATCAATCTCCCTGAGCATTCGGGGATCAGCGTTTGGACAACTTGGTGGGTGGGGGAAAAGTTAGTGAGCTGGGAGTGCTAATTGGTCAGGTCATATATGAAATCACAGGGAGTCAAAGCTGTCTTCTTGAACTGAGTCAGTTCCTGGGTGGGGACTACAAGATCAGATGAGTGCCTAGGATACTCACCAAGCCAGACACCCTGTAATGAGGCTACAGCTACAGACACTCCATGACTGGGTTACAGTTATAGGACATCTCCCCAGGACTATTTCTCTATTGTAATTAAATCCATGCATTGGGTCAGCAGTGCCCTGTCAATAGAGACAGTACCAGAGTCAGCCCCCAGTCCAAGAGAACTAGGCAGCTGCTTGGGCTAACATCAGCATCCATCACCAGAGGGGGACTACCAAACCATGGGCAGGTAGCCACACAGGCAATCCTGGACAAGCCCCCAAATTTGTAACCACCCAGTGGGTTCACCTTGCCCACTACCTAGAGAGAGCTGATTTAACAAGACAGAGGAATTGCAACAGAGAAAGAGTAATTCACGCAGAACTGGCTGTGCAGGAAACTGGAGTTTTATTATTACTGAAATCGGCCTCCCATATATTACTTTTGACATAAATTCATAAGAGTTTAATTAGCTTTTAGGCTCACTTCAGGCACATTTCATGACTCCAACTCCTGTTGTATAAGATATCCTTGCTTTTAAACATTAGATTTAAGACAAACAACTTTAGTTTTGCAGGATTTTTCTTTTATGAGCATGTTTTTTATTAATGCAAAGTTTCAAAGAAGGCCAATCAAACACCAAAGTATCTCCAAAGAGCCAGACTAAGCATTGAACAACACAGAGTCAGTAGAACATCAAGGTTTAAATTGTTGCTTTAACTTCCTTTTGGCTGGAACCTCAATATTCTGGTAATTCACCAAAATTACCAAAACAAGGAAAAGAGGAGAGACGCCAGTTGTATGTTCTCCAGACCTTTTAGAAAACATGGAGTTGGCCCTATGTATGGAAATCTATAAAAAAGGTGATATTGTAGACATCAAGGGAATGAGGTAAGGTTCAAAAAGAAATGCTTTACAAGTGTTACCAGGGCAAAAACCGGAAGAGTCTATAATGTTACTCAGCACGCTGTTGGCATTGCTGTAAAAAGGAAAATAAAAAAGTTAAGGGCAAGATTCTTGCCAAGAGAATTAATGTGCATGTGGAGCACATTAAACACTATAAGGGACAAAGTAGCCTCCTAGAATGGATGAAAGAAAATGATCAGAAAAAGAAGGGAGCCAAAGAGAAAGGTACCTGGATTCAACTGATGGGCCAGCCTGCTGCACCAAGAGAAGCATACTTTGTGAGAGCCAATGGAGAGGAGCCTGAGCTGCTGGAACCCATTCCCTATGAATTCACGACACAATAGGTGCAAATAATAATAATAATAAAAGACACCTGGACTGTTTAAAAAAAAAAAAATTGTTCCACTAACAGCAGCCCACAGAAATTGCAGAGAAAGCCGGTAGTAATGCCACAAAAACAAAATGTAAGGAAACTGACATAGAAAAAAAGAATAAAATTTTGAAGACTACCAGAAAAGACAAGAGATGATTGCCTTGTATTGCCAGAAAAAGTCAAAAGGATGATGTTGGATGCTACAATTGTTTTTATCAAATGTAAGCATTTTCTAAAACAATGGATCAATGTTTCATTTTACCTAATTTTTGCTGAGGAAGAGACTCTTAACAAGTTTTTGCCAATAGAAATTTATGATACATTTTCTGGTGGGCCAGGCGCACTGGCTCACGCCTGTAATCCCAGCACTTTGGGAGGCCGAGGTGGGCAGATCATTCATGGTCAGGAGTTTGAGATCAGTCTGGCCAATCTGGTGAAACCTCATCTCTACTAAAAATACAAAAAAAATTAGCTGGGTGTGGTGGCTGGCACCAGTAATCCCAGTTACTTGGGAGGCTGAGGCACAAGGATGGCTTGAACCTGGGAGGCGCGGTTGCAGTGAGCCAAGAGCACACCATTGCACTCCAGCCTAGGCAACAAGAACAAAACTTTGGCTCAAAAAACCTTCTGGTGAAAATATCTTAGTGAAATTTTTTAATTGCAAAGACAATTGAAAACTACGAGAATTGTTTCCATAGAAACAAGAAATGAATGGTATTGTAATTTCTGTAACTGTGAAGTGTGATTTGTATAAATCTGTCAATGTATTGATATGTTTATGACTTTTCCTGTTTGCATATTTGTTGATTCATATTAGAGAAGCTTTTCAAAATTAAAATTAGGAAAGAAATGTTCTTTGGTCACGTATAAGCTGACAGAGTGACAAATCTAACTATACTGTCTACTGAATATGTACACATAAAGAGGAGTGATTTCATTTCTTAAAACTGCTATAACAAACTATCACAAACTGTAAAACTTAAAACAACAGAAATTTATTGTTTGTGGCTCTAGAGGCTAGAAGAAAGAAACTGATGTGTCAGCAGCAGGATCATGCTCTCTGATGGATCTGAAAAAGAATACTTTTTATGCCTTTCCCTTAGCCTCAGGTGTCCTCCAGCAATCCTTGGTATTCATTATTGATTTGCAACTGCTTAATTCCATAATCTCTGCTTTCAAGGTCACATGGCTTTCTCCCTATATGTCTCTGTCTTTACCTGGTCAGCATCCCCCTGAATGTCCATCTCTCTCTCTCTCTTCATATGCATTTTTTTTTTTTTTTTTTTGAGACGGAGTTTCACTCATGTTACCCAGGCTGGAGTGCAATGGCGCGATCTCGGCTCACCGCAACCTCCGCCTCCTGGGTTCAGGCAATTCTCCTGCCTCAGCCTCCTGAGTAGCTGGGATTACAGGCACGCACCACCATGCCCAGCTAATTTTTTGTATTTTTAGTAGAGACGGGGTTTCACCATGTTGACCAGGATGGTCTCGATCTCTTGACCTCATGATCCACCCGCCTCGGCCTCCCAAAGTGCTGGGATTACAGGCTTGAGCCACCGCGCCCGGCCGCATTTTTTTTTTTTTTTTTTTTGAGATGGAGTCTCACTCTGTCATCCAGGCTGGAGTGCAGTGGCCTGATCTCAGCTCACTGCAACCTCCACCTCCCGGGTTCAAGCTATTCTCCTGCCTCAGACTCCTGAGAAACTGGAATTACAGGCATGAGCCACTCACTACACCGGCTAATTTATGTATTTTTAGTAGAGACGGGGTTTCAACATGTTGGCCGGGCTGGTCTGGAACTCCTGATCTCAGGTGATCTGCCCGCCTCAGCCTCCCAAAGTGCTGGGATTACAGGCGTGAACCACCACGCCCAGCCTGCATATATGTACGTATGTATGGATGGATGGATAGATGGATAGATAGATGATAGATAGATAGGTGATACAGCCTTCAGCCCGCAGGACTCCGAAGCTTCCAGGTGCCTTTCTCCTCAGATGCTCTTTTTCCTAGGCGGCTCCGCGGCAGAGTCCCATCGCCCTAAATGCCACACTTCTGCTGACGCAGCACAAGAAAAGCCCGATAGCCCGCTTAATCCAAAATGCCTAGTGTCGACAGATAGATAGATAGATAGACATTAGGCATTTTGGATTAGGCGCCCACCTATGCCTGTATATCTTCATCTTAACAAGTTACATATGCAATGACCCTATTTCCAAATAAGGTCACATTCTGAGTTATTGCAGGTTAAGACTTATAGCTTTTTGGGGACAGGAAGAATCATGGGGAAAGACACAACTCAAGCCATAACAAGAAACACTTTCGACAGTCACTGCCAATTTGCAGATGTTAAGGCTCATATAATATTATTATATTAATGAACAATAATTATAATATTATTGTTCATTAACACATAAATGTGTAGGTATGTTTTTCCCCTTAAAAAAACCACACTGGTGTAATGAAAAACAATCCACTACTTTTCCTTTTAGTGCTGCAATTTTTTTTTAACTGGAATGATTACTTCAACAAAAGAAAATTTCACTATCAGCGTTTCTTTTCAGGGCATCGTTATTATCCATTTCACCATTTCTACTGGAAATCACTGTGTTAAAAACGATGCGCGCAGGTGTCAGCCAGGCCAGCTGGCCACTGCTGGGCCGGGTAGGGCGGGCAGCCCGCAGGACCCCGAACCCTCCGACAACCTTTCTCCTCAGACGCTCTCTTTCCCAGGGGGCTCCGCGGCGGAGAGTCCCATCCCTCTAAATGCCACACTTGGGCTGACGCAGCTCAAGAAAAACCCGATGCCCGCTAATCCCACACTAGGGGGCGCCTGGTTCTTCGGCTGCCACCGAGCGCTCACTCTGCCTGAAGCCGGTCCAGCTCGCCGCCTCTGGAAAAGCTCAACACCGTTTCTCCGCCCTTTCCGAGACTGCCAACGAGGCAGGCTCTGATGCGCATGCGCAAACACGTTTGCCACGCTCCATGCTAAGGCGCATGCGTTCCTTGAAATTGCCTCCACCAGGTCTACCTTCCAGTTTCCAGTTCCGGCCTCCAAGGGGCGGGCAGAAGGTGGGAACATGCGGTTGTCGGTCGCTGCAGCCATCTCCCATGGCCGAGTATATCGCCGTCTGGGCCTTGGTCCCGAGTCTCGCATCCATCTGTTGCGGAACTTGCTCACGGGGCTGGTGCGGCACGAACGCATCGAGGCACCATGGGCGCGTGTGGACGAGATGAGGGGCTATGCGGAGAAGGTGAGGAGCGGGGCCCAGTTGTCCACTCTGCGAGTCTGGTCTGAAGGGACTGGGACCAACCTGCTAAACCATTCCCCAAGTCTGAGTCCCCTAGGACCCTGAGCTGAACTCGCCTCTCCATCGCCTGTAATGAGACTGGTTAAGGGCTGCGGAATTAGGGGTGGCGTAGATTGGAAGTGCTTTGCTAGTGGAATGCATGGATTGCGGTCCGGCATTAGAGAAATTAGATTAACGCCTGTTTTCTTGCTCGGTCGGATCCGTGATGTCTTGTCCTCACAGCTCATCGACTATGGGAAGCTGGGAGACACCAACGAACGAGCCATGCGCATGGCTGACTTCTGGCTCACAGTGAGTGCGTCCTATCCGCCTTCAAAATCCTACCTACCCTTTGCTCCCAGGGGTAAGGGTTGGAGGAAGGAGAACTGGGCAGAATTAAGCTAGGGTACTCACTTACCGGTCAGTGTTATTGACTAAATTAGAAACTGTGTCTTAAGTTAGTTGAAGTCGATGTGAATACGTCTCTGCACAACTGCCTATAAATGACCCTTTGTGTAACATTGACTCTACCAGATTGGTGGGGAAGGGGGAGGTCTTTTTACTTGTGGGTGGACCTTACCTTTGGGAGTGGCGTAAAGTTAAATGCCTCTGCAGTTGTGCCTTACTCTGCTGTCTCTTGGATACTTCTCCCTCTAGGAGAAGGACTTGATCCCAAAGCTGTTTCAAGTACTGGCCCCTCGGTACAAAGATCAAAATGGGGGCTACACAAGAATGCTGCAGATCCCAAATCGGAGTATGGATCGGGCCAAGATGGCAGTGATCGAGTATAAAGGGAATTGCCTCCCACCCCTACCTCTGCCTCGCAGAGACAGCCACCTTACACTCCTAAACCAGCTGCTGCAGGGTTTGCGGCAGGACCTCAGCCAGAGCCTGGAAGCAAGCAACCACAGCTCCCACACAGCTCAAACACCAGGGATTTAACTGGATCTGAAGAGTCTGCAGCCCTTAATCAGTCCCCATGATCACAGGCCTTTGGAGTGCTTTTACTCTCTGAGAAGAACGGGAGCTAGAGCTGTAAAATGGACACTCTTGATGGGGTTGAGAACCTTTTGGGGAGCCAGATGGCCCTCTCTTTGCACAATAGATAAAAGCCTTTATATAAATATATATAAATTCATTTCTTTTTTCCTTCCTGTGGGGTATCTGGAGAATGAGAATTATCCAAATGCTCAGTCTACCTGAGATAGTAAATCCATGGCTTATGCTTCTGGTCCTTAAATTTGGGTTATTTTTGGTTAGTGCAGTTTTGTTTCTCTTAATGCCAGTTTAGATGGGCATGCATCCTGTAATTCCAAATGTTGCCAGAGGTGGTTGTTTTGACATCTGGTCTCCTAGAGACTGAGTGCTTGGGATTTCTTAGAGAAAGATTACTTCCTGACAGGGGTAGGGGAGTGACAATGTGCAAGTGAAACTTCCTTAAACAATCTAGTACCCTACGAACCTTCTGGGGATACTGCAATCACTCCTCTGTTTTGAGGCAGGATCACACATTACTTTCATGTGTTCCCTTCAACCCCCTGAATGGACCTGGGAGGAGAGGACCCAAGAACTCAGATGTTCCACCACTTTGGCCAAAGGGGTGGAGACATTTAGCAGAGGATGTTGGGCTCCAGGATAAGCTCCTTCCTCTTGGTAGGGGGAAGGGGTAAGAAAGTCTAAGCCAGAGAAGAATTAGGAAATTAACCCTCCTGGGAATTTCCTGGAAGTTTTTATTGTTGTCAAATCTGGCCTCTCTGGGAACCCAGAAAAGGGAAATCCGGCTACAGAATGTGAGAAGCTGGGAGCCCCTTTCTTGGCACAGCCAGACTGCTGTTCCCTTGGGTTCAGAGGCTTTCGTAGTGTGGTAGTTTTGGAAAGGAGCCATCGCTCTTGGTCTGAACACTTGATAGCAGTGCCTGATAACTGCCATATCCCCAGTAGAGTAGGTAGAAGAGATTTTATCTTGGGCAGTATCTTCTGAGTGTATTTGGCCCACTGAACCCATCCATTATCTGAGACAATAAGCAAGAGCAAGGGTAGAGGGGTCACTGGTGTAGAAGACATAGCTTCAATGACAGAACTATTCTGGGTTATTTAGCCGCAGCTGCCTTAGTCTGATACTTGTCCACTCCCAGCAGAGCTCTTTATCTCTTTTTCTCTACTCTAGTTTGTTCTTCACACTGTTACCAGAAAGCTCTTATATTTTGAATGATATATAGTAGACACTCAAAACATTTATGAAATAAAGCTACAACTCTGCTTCTGCTACAAAAATATACCCCTCCTCCTGTCTTAGCATGAACATCCACCCCAGCTTGAAATCTAGGAGTCATACCTGACTTCTAGAGAAATCACTTACCTTAAAACCACATCTTTATTTTGGATAGATGGATTGTGGCTGGGCTCCTGTAGCTTTTCCTCTTAGACCCCAGAAATGTATCTCCCTTTGGGACTTTCAACAGTTCCCTACATGCTTTTTGAGCATCTGCTAGTTCCCAGCATCAATTTAGGCAGCAGGGATACAATATCTACTGTTTGTCATATAGAGACTAGAGACAAGAAACAACCTGTATCATCAATGAGCTCACAATAACAGACCACTGCCACTACCACAGTGGCTTCAAGGGATACTGCTTTCCCTTTAATGTTTTGAGTTTTGGTCCAAATAAAACATGAATCCTAAGACATTTGCTAAAGGCTCAGGAATAACACTAGGAAAATAACAGCAACAAGAATTTTACTAAGCTGGCCTATAAATAAATAACTTTTCTTCACCTAGTGGAATGCTCCCCCAAGTCCATCTACGTACCTCTTTAAATACATTCCAAACCCTAGAGCAGCACTCTCAAAGGTTCCCCCCATCTTGGGCTCCAGTTCTTTATGGTAAGGTTGACAAGGTAATGATCACTCCTTTCTCAAAAGGTAACACATTTAGGCTTTACAATTAATACGCTATAAACCTGATGTCCCAGGGAGATGACTAGAAAAGTCAGTGATTATTTCCTTATACTCATCTACACTGAAGTTAACACGTTTATTTCCATGATGTTTCTCAAATCTGCAGTCAACTCGCTCCCTAATATGAAATCCATGATCCCTCTATCCTGGATTACTGCAACAACCTCCTAACCTCCTTCCTCCATATTTTTGCTGTAGTGATGGGAATCTGATCATCTTAATTCCCTGGCGATGATCTTCAGTTGTTTATTTCCTATGGGAAAGAGTCCAGATTCCTTATCATGACTACCCTCCTTGTTCATACATCTACTCATCACCCCAGCTACTTCCTTTGCCTCTAAATGTTGTGGCTTAGAAGCATGAAAGTTCCTATTTTGGATGTTTCCTTGTGTACAGCTCCCCTGTCCACAACCTTTTGTTCAAGCAGTCCCTACTATGCAGAGAGGCTTCTCCCTTTTAAAACCTACTTAACTTACATATAAACCTTTGTCATCACCTAGGTGGCTCCCCTGACCATCCCCACACCTAAATTCATGACTGTCAACCAAAGTGCTCTATGTTTCCACAATACACTGAGTTTGCCACATTGCATTTCAGTTCCTTATAGTGGATTAGTTCCTGAATGGGCTCTGGTGGACAGGCCTAAACTAAGCTGAAGCAGTGAGAACCTAGGCTCTATTCTGCCTAGATGAATAATTTGGCATGTTATTCTAAGTGTCACTGGGGAACTGGCTTTAGGCAGAAGATAACACTGGGAGTGGCAGATTAGAACAACTAAAAGTACAAAACCAAGAGCTCCCAAATTGGAATCCTAATTATGTTGGATAATAATCTTTTTTAGTGATTATTTCCATTTGGGTGTGAATTTTCTGTTACTTGCTACTAAAGGTATTCTGATAATTTGTGTACCATTGAACCTTTACGCTAGTGCTTCTCATAAATTGTGACTGTGGCCCACAGACCAAAAAGCATTTTATATCAGATTATTCATAAACATAAATGATTGAAATAAAATCTTCATAAAATGTTATTTACCTTTACAAATATGATCTACACTCGTATTTTCTACTTGTTCACCTTTTATATGCTGGCCCCAATTCACTAAATTGATTTTACAACCCACTAACAATCTACTCTTTGAAAAACACTTTTCATAGTCAGTATTCCAATGACTAACCATTGCCTTCACTGGATAAAATCCAGACATTTAATGACACAAAGGTCATCTATGACCTGGTCCCAGCTACTTCTCAGCCTCCTCTTCTACCATTATTTGCAGCCACCCTTCATGAGAAACTGCTTGTTATTCTCTGACTATATCACTACTTGGCATATGATGTTCCCTCTAGAATGCTTGCCCTCTTTAAAGTCCACTCCTACTTGTCATTCAAATATTTGCTCAGAAGTCACTTTAGAGGCCCCAAACTCTGCATCACTCTCCAAATGGGCTCAGGCCTCTCCTGTGGACCATTATTTATAATCCTGTGGGCATATACCTGCCAATCATATATACTACTGTTGCTTGTCTACTTAAC